AATAGTTTGGAAGCTAATTTCTACTAATGATACCTTACTACAACTTGATAATTTTCAGTTATTAATTAGTGTAACATTGTAATGGTATGGTTTGTGTTTATAGGCTAAATAAGAATACAATTTAATTACCGCATGATATTTGGAATTTCTTGCATATTATTTGAATAAAATACACACGCGCATAAAATAAATTTAAGTTTCTTTATAATTCAAATTCAAGTAATCTTAGGATAAATTTAGCGTGAAATAATGAGGCGCTTGATTTAATCATTAACTCTTCTATCCCGGCTCCTGTAATTATTGCAATGAGATAAACTGTTGCGTGGTGTCGACTGATTGACGTCGACTGATTGATGTCGACTGATTGATGTCGACTGATTGACGTCGACTGATTGACGTCGACTGATTGACGTCGACTGATTGACGTCGACTGATTGACGTCGACTGATCGACGTCGACTGATTTACGTCGATTGATTGACGTCGACTGATTGACGTCGACTGATTGACGTCGACTGATTGACGTCGACTGATTTACGTCGACTGATTGACGTCGACTGATTGACGTCGACTGATTGACGTCGACTGATTGACGTCGACTGATTGACGTCGACTGATTGACGTCGACTGATTGACGTCGGCTGATTGACGTCGGCTGATTTACGTCACCTGATTGACGTCGACTCACTGACGTCGACTGATTGACGTCGACAAATTGGATCACTCGCAGACTACTGGCGGACTCACTGGTACCCCTGCAGACTACTAGCGCACTCACTAGTACCCCTGCAGACTCCTAGCGGACTGACTGGTACCCCTGCAGACTACTAGCGCACTCACTAGTACCCCTGCAGACTACTAGCGCACTCACTAGTACCCCTGCGGACTACTAGCAGACTCACTGGTGCCCCTGCAGACTACTAGCGGACTCACTGGTACCCCTGCAGACTACTAGCGGAAGCACTGGTGCCCCTGCAGACTACTAGCGGACTCACTGGTGCCCCTGCAGACTACAAGCGGACTCACTGGTGCCCCTGCAGACTCCTAGCGGACTCACTGGTACCCCTGCAGACTACTGGTGGACTCACTGGTGCCCCTGCAGACTACTAGTGGACTCACTGGTGCCCCTGCAGACTACTAGCGGACTCACTGGTGCCCCTGCAGACTACTAGCGGACTCACTGGTGCCCCTGCAGACTACTAGCGGACTCACTGGTGCCCCTACAGACTACTAGCGGACTCACTGGTACCCCTGCAGACTACTAGCGGACTCACCGGTATCCCCCCAACAGACTACTAGCGGACTCACTGGTGCCCCTGCAGACTACCAGCGGACTCACTGGTGCCCTTGCAGACTACTAGCGGACTCACTGGTACCGATCACAATCCGAATAAGTAAAAGTTTTGGTTTTTCAACCCTCTTGATCAAAATTTCCATAGAAAGATCCGCTCTTGATTCTGGCTGATCTGGGCGCAACGCCTTGGAACCCCATATCGAACGGAGGATTTCTCAGTCCCAAATCACCAACCAGAATTGTGTATGTTGAACCCACGGAGATGTTGAGGGTGTCTGATTCTGACTTTGTGGTTATTCGCCTATCTTTTTTCAGTTAAATCATGAACAGTATCAATATTTTCCCCACACACTGCAGTGCGTGACCTGCCTCTACGAGGTTCATCTCTGATCTCATCTCTTCCGCTTCTGTAACGACTAATTAATTTATTGATTGCTTATTTATATGAGGCACTGTTACCATAAACTTATTCCAGAGCGCCAATGGCTGTTCTCCCTCCCAAGCTTCACCATGAATTTGAGTTTAGACCTGACCTCAATTTCGGTACATGCCACGTCGCATGAACAGTTTTGTTACTTTAAAACAGCGCCCTGCGTTAGGTAACATTGATTTAAAGGTAAATGTGCGAACTCGTTATAAATTATTGATACAGGACCGTTCTGGTGCATTGGCATCATTTTTCCTTCATAGAATCAATTTAACAATTTTTTCGAAGTTTCATACCCAAAGTTTCTGTCATTTAACCACTAAGATGGAGAGCCATACATGTCCGTGATTTGGCTTCCTAAAAATGCCACAAATAAATTTAATAAATCTCTCAAGTATTTAGCTTCTCTACAGGAAAACGCATTTAGCTAATGAGCCTGCCTACATTTGGCAACTCAACCGACCCGCTGAAAACTAACTTCAATACGTTTCCATTTCTAGAACTCACTTAGCCACTGAAATTTTTTAATAGGAAGATAGAAATTTTGAAGTCTCTCTTATACTTAATTTATAGTTGAATATGCCTGTCACTTGACATCACGCACGCTCTATCATAAAATAGGTCTAGTTAACGCCTAAAGCTTCAACCTATTAAAAGAGCCGCTGCCATTTATTTTTCAACTATAGGATTGAGCGAAGCAATATTGTACATGCCGAGCCCACCCACCATCAACTTAACCTTCGTGAAGATGTACATTTTACTAGCGTTACTTCCTAGACGTAAGCTCGTACATAATCCTAGTGTTTTCAACAAACCCTGTACGTAAAAATAGGAGTTTTTAACTTGTTATATATTATTTAAAAGTATATTGCTTATAAAACTGATCGAAAGTCATAAGCGCGGAATCCCTTCATTTGGAAGCCCTAAACCTAAATCGTAGGGCGTGAGTTTCAACTATTGGCTTTCATGATTGATTGAGACGAGTCTCGAGTCTAGCACGCAAAGACTTAAGTTTTCACAAACATTTCAAAGAATCGAGTCACAAATCTTGGTCTTTGCTCTAAAATCTTAGAGTTGACTTTTAAACCGAGTCGTGAGCTTGAATGCAGGTCTTCAATCTGAATCGTTAAAATGTAATAAAGCAATGAATTTGTGGCATGCCTTGAACTATAACCAAACATTTAGCTAACATTATTATAAATTCATATGAACTTAAGACTCAATCTCGAGTCTAAACTTTATAAGTACATCACGTCATTACCCGATTTTGCAAATCAAGTCTCGATATTTCAATTTCCAATTTCAAAATCAAATTTTGAGCTTCTAGCCAATTCCCAAAATCCAAATCAAGTCACGATTTCAATTCAATTTCAGATTTCAAAATCAAATTTCGAGATTCTAGCCAATTTCCAAAATCCAAATCACGTCTCAATTATCAGTTCAATTTCCGATTACAAAATAAAATCTCGAGATTCTAGCCAATTCCCAAAATCCAAATCAAATCTCGATTTTCAATTCAATTTCCGATTACAAAATAAAATCTCGAGATTCTAGCCAATTCCCAAGATCCAAATCACGTCTCAAGCTCTAAGCTGAACCTGTCTCTTATACANATTATGTTAATGTTAATTATTAAATTAAAAATGTTAATTATTAAATTAATAAAAAGTCACAGGTCCAGGTTAAACATTGAAGTCCGCAGTCTCGACTAGGAGCCGCGACCAAGCATGAGCGGTGTGAAGTGCATTACTATCTATAGCAAGCTTATTAGCTTAGATTAAACCTGAAAATAGATAAAAATATGTCAAATATATAGATCTAACTTCAAGTATTTTAAATTTATACGTAATTATTTTCCTCTCCTTCTGTTGGATGTTATATAGTTACGAGCATAAAAACAATTATAAGGTTATATCAGCTAAATAGCCCATTAAAATATTATAGCCGCAGAATAACCCGTTTTAACGTTATAATAGCTAAATAACACATTAAACGGTTATTACAGCTAAATTGCCAATTTATAAACAGTTTAAAGTTCAGCTAATATTGGTTTGTTCCAATTTTTAAACGTTCCGCCTGTAGCGTAAAAATGATCATTCATTGCAAGTAATGTAAGAGATATATATTAATTCTGTAAGATTTTATTTAACTAGTGACTTTAACTCTGTTTTTACTTTACATTTTACTGCGGAGGTAATAGCTACCTGTTAATTACCCCCTATAGACTATTAAATATTGTTGTTCTCACTTAACAGCGAGGTTAATTGTACTGTGCTTACCATTTGATTTGCTCATCTTGGTCAGGAAATTGTTATCGTTACTTGGCTGCTGTGCTACATCGTATGAACTAAATAAAGCCTATTGCTATCATGCAGTTTATTCTCCCATTGTTCAGAATCTACTGTCAAAACTTATAATCGAGGATCACAAAACCATACATCCAACGAAAAATATCATACATGATCAAGACTGAATAAATATTATTGCACTCTGAAGAAAATAGAGGGCTAAATTTATCCATGAATTTTGCTCAAACCATGAGGAAAATATCAAACCATGTTGATCATTACGATCAACATGGTTAATAATGCACTTGCTGTGTGCAGCCAGCGTAGCGTGGGTTGCAAAAAATTACGCAATTTGAGGCGGGGAAGCTCCGGCACATTACGCTTCACTTCTTCCATTCTGGCTATCCACTGAAGGAGATTTCATTTTACAGTCTCTTTTCATTGCACATATGCAACTCGGAATCAGGTAGAATCTCAATATTCGAAGTATAATATAGCCTATTGTATCCTCAGCGCAGGATAAAATATATATTTACTCCCTGAAAATCTAGCAACATACTTTTCTCTAGCTCAACTTAGAACACAGATTCCCAGAATTGCTTGCTACATATCAATCTCAGATATCATCTATTGAATACCAGCGGTCTCTTTTTCTTACAAGACTTGCATAGCAGTCAAGCATAACCGCCCTTGGAAGAATAATCAATAACTATAATAGAGCGTCAATCATACACAGAGTCGAATAAAGTGGCTTAACGCATAAACACATGCACACATCCTAATATAATCATATAGGATCTAATAATTTCGTATTAGATTTTTCTATCACATTTACCTACTAGCGGATATTTTGAACTGATCAGTTGCCAGAGAGGATCGATTTTTATTAGTTGAACCACCCTTCATAGAATTCCATCCTGTAAAACACCACATTGAGCAACATGAAAAAAAATCGAGAATAGTCCTCAGAAATTTGTCAACAGTTCTCTCACCTCAATTTTAGGCTCCGTGACCGTAGCGACGAAGTCTAGGACGCTGCCACCCACCACCACCACCTGTTCACGCGCCAAAAAATGCGAGAAGAATTAGATTTCCAAATTGAAATGAAATTTAGGTACGACATGGGTACTCTTTTCTAATATAAATTTCTTAAAGCTTCTTGTACGTACAGTAGTTTACACTGGTCTTTGGGCGAAAAAAAAACATAAAATTACATACATATAAACACGTAGGTTTGTATATATTAGAATATCGACGTCGAACATATCAAAGAGAATAGGTATGTGTTGAAATCCGCTCGCAGAGTATATGTACATCGAAGACGAGACTACTGACTACTAATGACTGAGAGAAACTCAATAAATAAACTATTTAGAACGAGCCAAAAAACTCTAAAACTGCAGGTCGAAAGCGCATGAAAAACTTTGAAGCCCATGATATTTTCGTAGTACAGAGACGGGAAACACTTTCGTAGTTATTGTGTCAATCAGTACGCGTGTTTAGATATATCAAGCTTATGTATTTGAACGTGCTGTGAATGTTAGGGATCTATTTGAGTAATTTGTAAAACCCCAATAATGGTCGTTTTTTGACAAAACTGGGATTTAATGTTATTTATTAGGGTAAAAACATGTAGTAATGCATAAAATTATTATATTGATGGACTTGGAATGAACTTTGAATTTTTTTTTCTTTTTTTATTAGTCAGTTAGATAACTAATGATTTTGATATTCAGCAAACATAAAAGAAAGTAATTAAATTAACTAATGTAGTTGCTGATTGGATGAAGTTTCGCCGATCTATATAAATTCAAACAACCTCATTTTTAAAACGCAACAAATGTCAGATATAAGATATGATAAGGAATTCTCATATCTGAAATATTATCCATCAACAGCAGCGTCGGAATTCAGCGTGTTGATACATGATATAAATATTTTTTTACTTTAGACGGTTTATAGAAAGTTTGACTCAAGAACGATCGTAGGAGCGTGTATGACACACACCTCGGCAGTGTTATGAGCTTCCTTCAGTGTATTGTCGCCCTCAGGCGGTGGACTGGCAGGACGTGTGTCTTCCAAATGTGGACTCTCTGCAGACTGGGGATCCGATGAAAATTGATGTTTTTCTAATTCACGAGTCAAATAAAAACTGCACACGAAAGAGGAAAAATCAGGTATTATTTTTATTGAGGCTCAAAATTTGCGAATCTGTCGGTTCAGAGAAAACTACATGTGTCTGCAGAGTCAAGTTAATGATAGTCAAGTAGAGCATATCATATTTAATAATAGGCTTTATTATTATTTTATATTATTATTTTAGTATTAGTTTATTATTATTATTTTATATATTTTAGAATGCGCGTTAATTTTTTTTTAAATCACTATATTACTTGAATGACTTAACGGTCTACTACCTTGACGACGATCGTGATGGGTTCTCTGTTCTGAGTTTTGCTAACGCCGAGGCAACGTGAGCTCCCGTGGCCGCGTTGTTCTGGATGAGCGCGGAGTTTGCGGCCAGGCTGCGGCCATCTGTCATCCGCAGAACTTCCGACAAAACAAAAGGAGTGACGTCACGCCCCGTTACTGATGACCTTCTCGCTAACGAAACAGCTTTTTCGATAGCCTAGAATAAATGATAGTACATCAAAAATCCTGTTATAGTAATTAGTAGAAACGTAATCGATAATCAAATTTTTGTAAAAATTTGAATTAGTAAACAATTTACTCAAAACGATTATCTACGTAAAAATATAGTTCAGTGCCTGATGTCTAAATTTGTATGAAAAGCCATTCAATTCAAGTTTTGAATATTTTTGAACAAGAGTCAACTTGATAAGTTGACTTTTTTGTGTACCTTCTATCGAGTGCAAAATTTCATTGTTCGATTATTTCCCGATTTCATTGTTCAATATTTGTAAGTGCATGATTGTTAATGAATCAACGTATAGAAACTTAATGGCTGGAGGTTTTTACCATCTTAATTTCAGCTCCAGCTGGCTCTGCGCTCTCCGGAATTGGCACGGCAAAAATTAAACCAGATCTTAGAGCCAGTTTCTTTGCTTGATGTATCATTTCGGCTGCTTGTGACGGATCGGTTATGAAAGACGTTGCCACAATACCGCTGTTGCGAGTAAAGAAGTCGGGAAAGAAGACTTTCGCTGGGTCGCATTGAGCTTCTAAACTGCGATCCAAAACTGTCGCACTCACGCCTGGAATATGAAATATATTTATATATAAATTGAAAATAAAGTATGATTCCTTATGAAATTTAATTAAATCATCGATTATGACACACAAATGATGAAATAGGATAATAGATAAACATATAATGATATATCAAGTGCTGTAACTACTTTAAAGCCAGTGGGAGTGTTAGACCTTTTTTAGTGTTTACCTTGAGTTTCCAGATATTCGAGAGTTGCAGGAACATCAAGAATGCTTTTAATTCCGGAACATACAACTCCGACACCTTGGCAATGCCCGAGTTCGATTAAATCCGCCGAGACGTCCCAAGTTGTTGCTCCGGAGGAGTGTACTTTGTGAACACCACCAATGCCGCCGGTAACGAAGACATCGATGCCTGCCAGTCTGCATGCATGTAAAGTTGTCGATACCGTTGTGCCGCCATCCACTTTCTGTAGAAATTGAGATTCAATAAACATGAGGTATCCGTCATACAATTTACATACTTCAAAATTGTATACTCATTCTGAGTCCATTATGATCAAAGTTCTAGACTATCTAGCCTCTAGCTCTAGGTGGGTAAATTACCTACCTCCTACCTAGAACTTAAGGCCCTATCCGATAATTAATTCATAACTTTTTTAATGGGGCGCTGATGAATCCTCGAGTTTCCATCATGCTCATCGTAGCCAAGGACTAGAAAGTAGAAGGCTAGAACCGTAGAACGTATAGGTTATCATGTTTTTTTTTTGCCGTTTCTACTGCAAAATTTTCAGAGTACATTAGTGTAAAACTCAGAACCTTCATTCTGGAAAATTGAGTAGATTTAAATTAAAATTAAACCTTCAAAAAACTGCACCTCTCTCAGTCTCGGCCTTTCTGCCCTCTCAGGCTCTCGCCTCTCGGGACCTGGCCCACCCACCAGGCCCACTACCCTGGGGCCCTGGAGCCTGGACTGCCAGGACTAGGTGTGCTTACTTTAACAATTTGAGTTTGATGTCATTTTTTATAGACAAAATTGAGTAGGTATTAGCCTAGTTACCAAAATTAGAGAAAAAAACTGTTTTCTTAGAATCAAATATTGTGGCTGCAAAGATTTTCAAAAATTCAATGTGAAATTGTTTATTTTACTTGTATGTTTTGAACAATTCTGTCTTGTATAAATTGTATTCCATATTTATCATTTATGATATTGTGTAAACTGTAAAGTACTACCTACCTAAATGTTGGTATTCATAGCATTCTACCATCCTTAGCTATTTCAAGAATTGCAACACCTTTATTTTACTTGAAAATATATAATATTATATTTATATACTGTATAAGAAAATTTGCCTTTAAAACTTTGTTTTCAAAGTTTTATCTTATTGCCTTTATACCTATTCCAAGCCCAAGGTGAGAAAAGCAATAATGAAATTGTTGATAAAAATTACTTGCTGGTCAGTGGTCTTCAACAACAACAACTTGCATCTTGCATTAAAGAACAACTTCTGCATTGCTAATAACTGAGTAATAAGTAATATATATGATTGATACATATATGTACCTTTGTTGCAGCAAATGCCAAATCTCTTGTGCTTATTTTATGTTTCTTTGTACAAGTGTCAGCCAGCATGTGGAGTTGTGAAGATGAAAGGCCCACTGTCAGTTGTCCTTTTAGCATCCCAATTGTTGCTGGAATGCAACCCTGTGATCAAAATGATAAATTATCATTGACTCAGAATTGAAGTAGGTACCGTAATTATTTTATTTTATGCAATAATGGTGGTAATACTTTAGATTAAGTGCATCCAAAAAATGGGTGTTTTTTTTAATTATATGTTTTTTGGGGTGTAGATAAAGAATCTGAAATCTGTTTTTGGAGGTCGGCATTGGAAAACCAATATTTTCCCCAAGGCTCTAATTCGTAAAAAAAAAAAATTGGCAAAATCGGCAAAAAAAACCTAACCTAACCTAACCTAACCATGGTTGCAATGTCATGATTGCCTGCAATGTCGTGGTTGCAAGAGTAACCTATATGGGTCACCGAGGCTAAGTTAAGAACACTATAAATCCATGGATATTGGGGCCAAGATTTAACTTGCATTTATCTTAGAAAATATATAAAAATCGGTTTTCCGATGCCGACCGCCAAAAACAGATTTCAGATTCTTAATTTGCACCCCAAAAAACATATACTTAAAAAAACACCCATTTTTTGGATGCACTTAATGTAAAGTAATACCATAATGGTCACTGTACCTTCTATTGCTAAATTTAAATAGTGTAATCTAATAATTCTATGTCATGGAATAAATCTTGATGTTGAAAAAGTTCATTTCTCATTTTGTCTGGAAATAGCTTCATGCTTCACAATATATTAGATGCCTCAAATATTCTCATTTATATGATATAGTTATATATATAACACTAGTACCGGTACCTATATATGTCTCAAAAAATAGTTTTAATTCTATTCTTAGCAATTTATTTGTGATTTCTCAGTTTTATTTTACTACATCTATTTTTCAGGCAGCAAATAGAAACTGATGACTGATTAATGTTGTCCTAAGCTTTTCAGCTATTTTACACCTTACATTTGCTTCACCTTTCCTCTTATAATTTCTTCCAGTTTCATTGCTGTTGTAAGGTTGTGAGGAGCTGGCATTCCATGGGTAATGATTGCTGATTCCAGAGCAACCACGGGTCTTCCTTCAGCTATAGCTGATCTCACTTCTTCATTCACAATAAAAGGCCACACTTGTTTTTGATGATGCATTGGTTGTGAAGCGTGTCTTATTTGTCTAACTCTAAACTCCCCAATAATTGACTGACTGTTAAGTTTTACATTTTCCAGAAATTTTTTTTTATTCAATTCAACACCTTCATTACTAAAATATCTGGCTGTTACACATTTCCATACATGCTGCCTTTTGGAATTCCATTTTTTAATGGCTCCAGCAGTATGGTTTTGTAAGCTCATCATCCTAGCATATAATCTAATTCTCATTTCAACAAATTTTCTCCAAACCTTAACTTCAGTTTAATTTAAAGTTTCCACAAAACTAGCACTTTTGAGTGAGCATTCCTCACTATCACTTTTCACAATGACTTCTCTCACTTGAAGCAGCATGGATACTAGGAGGGTTCCTAACACAACTTGGTAATATTGACCCTGTTATCAGTTTGATAGCACTGTTCACAGAACTTCATTTCCTGATAACATTATCAGCTCAGATGACTATGGTCATTCTACTATCAAGCCATACTAATTCAATTGATTAGTATCATAATTCTTCTAAAAACATTATAATATTATATTCCTAAGTATTGTTATATATAGCAATTGGTACAAATTGAATTGCATTTTATTTTATTTATATAGATTAGTCTTGAATTCAATAATCTATTCACTAATAAATAAATCTTAACATGTTGATAACATCCTTATCTTGTGAGGAATATATTTCTGCTGTTAGCTATAGCATTCTGCCCTCACAGAACTGATGTTTCATTTTTTACTTGCTTTCTTCATCTTCAAGATATCTCAGGCTTTCAGATTAAATTCACAATAGACTTCCCAAATTGGATCTATTATTTGAAAATTTTTCCAGATATTTTTTATTTGTTTGAAACTTTTTGTGTTAATTCTTCCTGAAGTAAACTATGCCTGTTGCTCAAAGCATCTCAGATGTTGACCCCAGTGTATTTGAAGGCCTGCAGTCTGAGGAGGATCAAATCTGCACTGTAGAAGCAACCACACCAACTGGCTTGGAAGATGTGAGCATTTCTTGCATTCAAAAATTTTGCAATACCTACATGATGCTTGGATATAATTTTAGGCATAAAGTCTTACTCTTTGTTTCTCTAGACAATTTAATTAAATTTGGTGCAATTAATACAAAATTAGGTACCTATTTCAAGCAGCCATTTATCTGAAAAATGCAGACTCCACACATTAGAATGACTTGTCATTATTCATTTTTTTAATTATTATAATATTCTGAATTTAGCGTGAAATGTTGCACATAATTTGTAATAATAGTCCCAGGTTATAAGCTTCAAATCTTCAGATCTCACACAATTTGAGAATAATTGATTCAAACTTTAATGAATTTGTTGTGACAGGTTTGTGCTGAGGAAGCCCAAGAGAAGCTTGGCGTCAAGGCCCACACATCCACAGGCAGAGCGTTTTTTGATGTGCCAATCAGCAAACTTTCAGAGGTAATATTGTTATCATTTATATATACCATATACTAGCTTGGTTTTTTCAGTATTTGGCTGGTCAATATTATTTATGTATCTGAAACCAAAAAAATATTGGGAGAAATATTGGCAGACAATCAATAAATTCTGAAAACCCCATTAAATAAATTGCTATAGGCATCTCTCAACTCTTCCAGGAGATTGTTATATATAAATGAATTAATGAAAAGCATTTCTGACTATTTTTTTACCCATTATTATATTTCAGGTTCTCAAGTTGCATTCTGCTGAGAATGTTAATGTGGTGGTGCACATGCAAACAAGCTTTCCCTTTACTAGCATCAGGGTAAGAGTATATGAATACCTACATTTTCTCACATATACTCTGTAGATCATTCAATGAATTTGTCTTGTGCAGTTTTGTGTTAATTTACTACTGTTGTCTAATGATAATACATGTACACTCATAGTAGAAGACAAGATTCATTTATCCCATTCTGTCAACAATTATGTGCCAGCTGATGGTATACTTTGTCTTTTTCCATATCATCAACTCCTCTGTTAATGAGCAACATTAATACCTATATATTTGTTGCCAGGAAGATTGCTTCTCTGCTCTATACTCATTGGTTGAGCGTCCGCTCTGGCGCAAGGGCATGAGAGCCTGGCAGCATGTTTTTGAGCCTCTGGAGAGTGACCCATTTGCATGTGATATGCCTCTCTGCCAAGCCTATCAGGTATGTAACATTTCTTTCTTTATTTTAGTATGATCCTCCTGCTAGAGTTACGTGTACATAAATTGTACTAGAGTTACGTGATCCTGGCTTCATGCCAGGATCATTGCTGCTATGGATGACTCTAGCCTTTAACGATAAGTGATTTCTGCCATTTAATTGCCATCTTGATTATTCATTTGTTTTTTGGAAAAAACAAGTGTCAACATAGATAAATGTGTCATTCTGTCATGTTTAGGTTTGCTCAGATTTCTCAAGTATTGGAGAAAAGTTGAATTTTCCTTTTTCTATCAATCTCTAGATTAGGTGAACAAGAAAGCATGCTGCATTGCTGAATTATTTAGGGTATTTTGCCTAGTATCATTTGATTAAATGTTTCTTGTCTCAGTCTTGTCTACTTACTCAAATGAAGTTTTACAAATGTTTTTGTAATTTCTGTTTAGTAAATTGAACTAATTCTGACAGGAGCCCAACCCTGTACTGGACCTGAGACTTCTGAAGAAGGGCTCACCTGTTGCCCTCAACCTCCCCGATAACATAAGGCAGCTCAGAGAGCAACATGCTCAAGCCTACATCAATGATAAGACCAAGTGCAAAAAAGATGCAGGACTTGCAGAGAAAACACCTCCTGAAGATATAGAAGTTCAAGTGACTTCATCTGACTGTTCAAGTACTGTTGCTTCTGCATCCAATAAATTGTCGTCAGGTTTTGGTGACGAGTCTCTTATCAACTCTCTTGATGGATGTAAAATTGTCGGTCATAATTCAACTACCATGCTAAATTCTGAGGACCAATTACAATGCTCTACCAAAACACCGGGAACAATTGACACTGACAGCAATGGTGCGAATGCTGTTTTAACAAATACTACAGACGACGATCATTTTCGTACGCACGGTCACCAGAGTTTAAAGCAAGCAGGTCAAAGTTCAGTGGAAGGAAACTCTCATCCAAATTCATTCATGACCGACGCAGAGGTAACTAGCCCACCACCTCGGACCACCTCTCGAGATAATAGCTCTGGTCCAAGCTTCAGAGTTTGTTGTAACAGGTGAGTAAACATCATATGTAGAGTTGGTAAACAAATGCGTGGTAAAATATTATTCTATAGAGCAGACTGTTTGGCTAATATTAGGTAAACAAGTTGTAGTATAAGACTTTACTTTGAAATGTGTTGTTGCAAGAGGAAAATGCTTCCTGATTGTTCTTGCTTTAAAAGACTAAGCTTTGATAAATTTAAAGGCAAAAACTGTGACAAATGCGATCATACGAATAGATAAGAGTACGCAGGATAATTCTCTTTCAATAGGTGCCATTAGAAAGATATTGCAATTATTTTTATGAGATATTTGGTGCAACCACTAGAGAGAACGTGCAAGCGATAGATAGAGAACCTACAAAGCGATAGAGAGAAGGTGTAAGTATGTACGAATTCAAACGTAATTCATAGATATAAGGAAGCTTTCTATACTTGTATCAAACGCTTATCCTATACGGGAATCTTTTTAGTGTTTTTCCACCCACATTAGAACCGACCTAGATCTACATAGCGTGTGTATGTTTCATCTGTGCTGCTGTGCATCATCATCTTTGTTCGCAGGTCTGGTACGGAGCACGTGTTTGGTTCTCCGGAAGCCGCGCGTCAGTTAGGAGCTGCGCTCAACGATCGCTTTAGATGGCCTGTGAAACTCAAGGACTTCCTGGTGGAGGTTATCCTTAACATCGCTGATAGTAAGTGGCCGAAAATAACTTAACTGTGATAACACGAGACTAGAGTTGCATGATTTTTAATTTCGTATATGATAAGCGCGAAATTTAAGCTAAAGGTCGTTTTTTTAGAGGAGGATCAACGAGGTATAGTAACGTCTACGAACAAAACATATCTCCAAAATCTATGTTAAATACTATGTTGTTAGCAATTGAGGGTATGCCAAGTGAAATATAATGTAGCTGTTGTACACAGATTTTGTGTACGTGTGCCTGGCGCTGACGAGGGAGCCTCTATACCGTCGCAACCTTGTCTGCTTCGGCCCCACGAACCTGCGAGCGACGCTGTGCTACGCTCTACTGCACCTCGCCGCGCCGCAGCCCGGCGACCTCGTGCTCGACCACATGTGTGGCGGCGCCTCCATCACCATTGAGGTAGTCATGCATCAGAGCTGCTAACGTCAAATTCACTCAGCATATGCGAGTGTTAATATCTTGTTACCGCATTGCGTCCATCACGATAAGGTCGAAGTTCTGTCGAATTTATGTCCTGCTTGCCGAAGGCCTAATGAAATGAAGCGAGCATTAATGTAAACAATATTTGTAGCGTTCTTATCTTTGACCGTTTCAAATTGAGCTTCCACTAGCAGCTAGATTCTGTTCTCTTGGAAGTTTATTTATTTTTTTTTAATCCATTGCATGTCGCTCAGAAACCAGAAATCTGTACCGGTATAACTATCTGATGTGTTGAGTTCTGTAAAGAAACTGAGTATTGCCAAGTGAAGGCATACAATGAATTTTGCCATGATAACGGCTACGAACTACTCCAAATTACCTTTATTCAACTAAATTAATACCTTGCAAAAAGGAGCGCAATCGATCATTTACTCAGTATGTTCTAGCCACCAAATACTATTTTTAATACGGACTATTGAAAGTTTGTACGTGTTTCAGGGTGCGCTGTGCTTCCCCGCTTGTTACCACGTAGGCGGGGAGCTGCACAGCAAGGCTGTGGACCGCGCGGCCACCAACCTGCAGCACGCAGAACTGACGAGGGGCGTGGCTCTGCCTGCTGGGCTGCTGCGCTGGGACGCTACCAAAATACCCTTCAGGTATCGTCATGACAAGTCTTACCTGGGGATGTTGAGAATATCATCTAAAGTAAAAGCCTCTGTAAAATGTCTCAGTTTCAAGAGGGCTTACCTACAACCAGCTTGCTCCTTTGTAAATAAATTTGAAATCGGCGTTCCTTCTTAGTTTCTACACAAGAATTATTATTAAATTTATTATTTATTAGCGTATCAAATGCAATGACTAGAAATGAACTTCCCCCTCCAAGCATCTATGTTGAGCCTGTCTTTCTTCTATATGTTCTATTGCCCATAATTTGAGCTTCATTACACGATGGTGTTCGTCAGCGAATTACGCATTTATCTTCCTGTGAACTACCAGTACGGAAGCCAGTAGAGGGCATCCACTGACAATACCTGATAACATTCATGTGTGCTAGAGGGAATAATCGAGTTCATGTTTGGAAAACGCTGTGAGCCCATGTGAAATTTTCAGTTAACAAATTTACGCCAAGATTGTTCTAATGTGGACTTTACACGAGTATTGCTATTACTTTGATATTATTCAAGCGTAACAAATGAATGGATGGCTCACAGAGACAGCTGTGCTGACGTGATCGTGTCAGACCTGCCCTTCGGTAAGCGCTCTGGCAAGAAGGCAGACAACCGCTCGCTGTATCTCCTGGCACTGCAAGAGACTGCCAGAGTGACGCGGCCTGGTACTGGCAGAGCTGTGCTTCTCACACACGACCGCAACAGTCTCATTAAGGTCAAGATGACAGTAGCAATACAAAAATAATGAAGTGTTATTAGATTTCAATGATTACCTATGAACTGATGAATCTTGAAAAAATTTTGGTTGTATGAAATTACATACAATCAGCTGCAGTGCTGCACTCGTTGTGCATATCCGCCAAGATAGAAAATATTGTCGGAAGAATTTGTGAAAATAAAGCTATAAAGGAATAACTGATCCTTAGATTGTTTAATTGATAGTCGGTTTCGAGTTGAATCTTATTGAAAAACGTCAGTATACGTCTGACGGTTATTTTAATATAAGCAGGATAGATTTGGTTCTAACCGTGCCGCGGATCTATTCACCCTCAAACCAATGAACCTAATCATTGACAGAACTTGGCTCACGTCCGCGAGTACTGGCGCAACCCGTCGGTGCGGACCATCAACATCGGCGGTCTACATGCCGGAGTCTTCTTCCTACTCCGGACCGCGGCGCTCTACAAGAAGCCTTCCACGCTACCTCGCTGTTATCATAGCCTTGGTCACGGATCATAGCCTTGTTATAAAACTCTACCTAAGCTGCTGATCGTCTAACGGTATCTGTGAATGTCATGAAAATTACAATAGAATTGAATTATGAATAGATTGTAAGAACTGGAGTTTCCGTAGTTTTCTTAAGCCTGGTAAAGCAGAGAAGTTGGATGAATGTGTCCTGTGTTACAATCCACCGTGATGAACTGGAGATATTTATGAGGTGTGATGGAATGCTTTCATGAAAAGCATCCCAGTAGAAGAAAACTCGGAGTTCGGTCAGAATCGCGAACCTTTTATCAACCTTAGCTAATATGGATGATCAGACAAAAAAACCTCTATAATTTCTGTTCTTAATAACGAAATGAAATTAGATGGGAAGTTAGTAACTTAATTATCTTAAAGTACAGATAATGAAATTGAAGAATAAGTGCCTTAAATTTACTTAAGGAATTTTAAATTGATTTGTTTCCAACAATCCAACTATCAAATAGAGACACTTGTCGAGTCCTTCACTGAGTCTTCACTGAGTAAATTTCTCCGCTGAAAGAAATCCCACCGATGGGAACGGCCAACAGTTTTGTGAAAAGCTCCGCGTGTTAGACTAACCTTAATTTTGAGTGTTTTTTTATGAAACTGATAACGGTTGAACTTGAACCATCAAGATTACCAGAACGGTTTTTTTTTTAAGTTTTATCACGACGGTCGGGCCCAATTCAGGATCGCATTGTGGGCACCGCTCATCAGTAGCCAATCAACGACGGGGCTAGGGATGCACTGCAGAAGCCATAAATAGGCCCGCACCACGAGTGGCGCCGCATTGTAGCTCCGACGCGGGTGAGGTGACATCATGGCATCCCTGTTATTAGGAGAACAATTCAGATGCGTTAGCTAATCCATAAAATACGTCTGCAGGTTATTCAATTAACCAATGTATAAATTGCTGATTTTTCCTGAATATTTTCGATTTATTAATAAATCATTGAGCAGAAATAGAAATGCAATCGCTGAATCTGTTACGTATTCGTTTATGGTTCGCCGCCTTGCACTGTAAACACATAGGAGCCATGCAAGAGCATTTTCGCAATGCTTATGGAATTGGGATATTACTTGGGACTGGCATTTTATTTTTTTAATGTGCAGACGTGAGACACTGGAGAATGGGTGGGGAGGAATGTTATTGGAAAGAGCATTTTAATTTCAGGATGTTTGCGTATTATTAATTATTACTAAATAATGGATGGTTAACATTTTAAAATAATAATTAAATGATAGTGTCCTGCTAAACGTGGATTGAAACTGGTCTTAAGTTAATCGACATAAAATTAGTTTTAATATTATCAACGAATTATGTAAGGCGTGATTCTTAAGTATCAAGCATTATAGTGAATCATGTCGGGCAACACACGTCATATATCGTAACATCTTGCAAACATAAAGAATCTTATCGTGATGCAAACATAATCAATCTTATCATTTTGAAATTAAATGGATCATATCGTTTTGAAATCATAATGAAAGTTATTATTTGGGAACGAAATTAATCTTATCATGATGCAAACGTATGAATCTTATCACGATGCAAACTTATGAATCTTATCATGATGCAAACTTATGAATCTTATCACGATGCAAACTTATGAATCTTATCATGATGCAAACTTATGAATCTTAGTCCTGAGAGTGCTGGGGTCCTGAGAGTGCTGGGGTCCTGAGAGTGCTGGGGTCCTGAGAGTGCTGGAGTCCTGAATGAGAACGCCACAATAATCAAGGTGCATTGAATGTATAAAACATTCTCCTGAAATTCCATCCTGCCTTTAGATGCTTCATAACTCTACATCTTCAGCCATAACTATTGCTATTTAAAGAATTGTATTCCTTCCAGGAGTGTGCTAGAAAATTGCATGAAATATATATATAAGTAGATATTCAAATGGAATATCATTGATCACGGCACATCCTGCTGAAATGCTATGTTGTGGATAGGTTGGGTGTGTGTAATGATGTTGATTATGCTAGCAAGATAGTATATGCTGTCCTTTGAACTAGAAGACTTAATATATCTAGTGAAACCTTCACAATTGTTTATCATTAGCCTGTAACATTTCACTTCCTGATTAGTAATGCCTGCGACATTTTATATGTAACTAATTAAGCCCTACAAGGTTATGTTTAACCTAGTGCAGCTCATGAGTCAGAAATTCTGTAAATATGACATCTCCCAGCACGTCTTGACACGTATAAGAAAATGCCTGTTCTATTTTCTTATCAAACCTGCCATTGTTGCCCGTGACCGATTTTTGTATCTTGCTCTACCTACACTCTTGACTCTTAACTTACCTGACAACCTGGTGCTGGGAACCAGTTTGTCAATTGACTCAAGGTATTCTGTATAAATCATTCTATTGGTCACACATTTTGTTATACCGTCGGATTGGTTACACATTTTGGTCAAATTATCCATTGGTCAAACAATCCAAACAATTCATTATATTGGTCACACATTTTGTTATACCGTGGGTTCTCATTCGGATTGTTTACATTTAAAACAATTCTTTTAAGTATAAAAATTTCAGAAAATGTCTGTTTAAACGTATTATTATAAAAATGTCCCCTCTTGCAGATCTGTCAGAGCTATTCTGTATAATACCTTATGTTGGTCACACTTTTTTTATATGTTCTCAATTGGCTGGTTTAAATTTCGAACAATTGTTTCGAGTATCTAAGTGTCAGAAAATGTCTGTTATAATTATAATATATTATATATTTTATTATAATATACTATAATTATAATAAAAATGTCTCCCCATGCAGATCTGTCGAACATCTTTGAGAGTTTTCTGCCGCAGCTGCTGACGTACCCCAACCCCATCGACCCCCTCAACGGCGACGCAGCCGCCATGTACCTCCACAAACCTGAGGAATATAAGAAAAAAGTCGCTGGTCAGAATAAATAATATTAAGAAAATTTATTAATTAATAATAATATTAATTAATATATTAATATCATTGTCTCGCCTTTGTTTCTCCTGAGCAGAGGCAGGAGCGCTGCCGTCACCATCACCAGACCCTCCAGGTTTACTCTGGAATTTATGAAAGTAGATACACATTTTTACTTTATAAAGTAAATGCAGAAACAGACGACTAATTAATTTTATACTGATTATTAATACAACCTTAATCAGACTTCGGAATATTGGAAAACTCAGTAAGCTCATTATATAAATAAATCACAACTGCTGCAAAAAATTGACAAACGTCACTCTGTTTGTCTCATACCCACGGTTTAATTAATTATAAATTACAACATTATATATATTATTCATTATGTTAACATCAATATTATTATAATATTAACATTAATATTTGTTAAAACATGCTCGCACCTGAGCTGGTGTTGCACGTGCGCCGCTCTCTGCCACTCGAGGGGGGCGTACGCCAGCACTCCAGCGTTGTTCACCAGACACGCGAGGTGTGCTTAATTAATAAGTCAATTAATTAATATGAAGTTAATGAACTTATTGAATATTGTATACGCTTATACCAGCCAAGCATCCGCTGCGCTAGGGGGTATGAAGTTAATGAACTTATTGAATACGGTTATACCAGCCAAGCATCCGCTGCGCTAGGGGGTATGAAGTTAATGAACTTATTGAATACGCTTATACCAGCCAAGCATCCAGTGCGCTGGGAGTATGAAATTGATTCAATTGTAAAATACGGTTAATCTAACTGAGCATTCACCGAAGATCTGCGAAACCTGATACACTAGCTGGGATTCCTCCCGCATGCTTCTATTATGATAATTCTTCGTACAATATTTTTCTGGAGGGAACCTACTTCAACAGCGATGGGAAACACTTGTTTTCCAAGCGCCTGAAATACATCGCACGTCTCTGCATATTACTTGTATCTCCCACACCCATAGTCCGGCCATCACCTACCGTATAATCCCACCCATCTTCTTCTTCTCACTCTCACTCGTCCATGCCTCACTCTCACTCATCCACGCTTCACGATCACTCGTCCACGCCTCACCATCACCCGTCCATGCCTCACCATCACCCGTCCATGCCTCACCATCACCCATCCATGCCTCACCATCACCCGTCCATGCCTCACCATCACCCGTCCACGCCTCACCATCACCCGTCCATGCCTCACCATCACCCAGGTCCTCCAGGGCCATGACGTCACCCAGCAGACGAGTGACGTCATCGCTCCTGGTCACGTCCAGCTGCGTCACCTGAGCACCTCTGGCCAGCAACTGCTGGGCTCCTGGAGACGTCTGGTCCAGCACACCTGCCAGCACCTGCCCAGCAACGTCCTCAATACTCAGTCCAGCAAGGCTGCCCAGCGCTGATCATAAGCTCTTCAGATGATAATAATTCTACGGTGGTCGTAAATTCTACCGCGATCGTACGTTCTACCGCGATCGTAAGTCCTACCGTGATCGTAAGTCCTACCGTGATCGTAAGTCCTACCGCGATCGTAAGTCCTACCGTAATCGTAAGTTCTACCGTGATCGTAAGTCCTCCGGTGATCGTAAGTTCCATCATCATCATAAGTTCTCGCGTGACTGTAAGTTCTACGTTGATCGTAAGTTCAACTGGTGTTAAGAGTTATACAGCAATTATAAATATTGATTTTCTTAGGTGTTCGGGAGGATTATGTCAACAACCGTAGGGTGGCTGTAGCGCCTTGGTGATGCGTGGGGAGAATAACATTGCAAAATAATGATGACTGTCTATTGTGCCAGAAATAAAACGACAGATTAAGAAGCGGACTATCCTGCTATTGGAGTGGAGTATTTGGTTATAAAATCTCAAGTATTAGAATAGAATAGAAGTGTCGGCACTGAATAAATAGGCCCATGGCCACGAATATAATACTCGTATGATCGTATTCTAATGAGTACGATAACAACATCCAATGAAGATATAACGGTTTAAATTTTCAGAACCAAATTTTATTTAGAAATTCAAACGGGGAACATTTCATTATTTTTTTGTTTTTACTTCGAAAAACTGTTAGATTACTTTATAAGATTACTTTATAGCTTTCACCAAAATAATATGATTAAAATTGCGGAATTATTATTTATTTCAACGGAACAAAACTTTCTTCCTTAATTATAAAATTTCATCAAACATCCTGAAATTTTCCTATTTGGCGAGTCGTTGCTCAGTCGTACCAAATACATAAACACTTATGAAAAAAAATAAAAAAAATATATAACTCAGTACTCGCTGCAGTGAGTGACAGAGAGCGCATTTTCTCTTCGACCAAAACGTGAAGTCACGGACGGACAGACATGGCGAGCAGAATAGCGCCTTTTTTCCAGAAATGAGAAAATGTGCTAAAAAAGATGTATAGATAAACTCACCTTGAAGCCCCATTGTAGAGATGCTACAGCAACCCACAACCCCACGCCCCTATCACAACCCGTGACCACCACCAGGGGCGGGATGGGGTTATCAGATCGGTTAGAGGCGGTCTCCGATACATCAGCATAGACTGCTTGCATTGCTTTATATTCAAGTATAAGAGCTGAAAATTATGAAGAATAATTTCTTAGAATCGTTGAAGTATGAGCTGAAATGTATGAAGAATAATTTCTGAATCGTTGAAGTATGAGCTGAAAATTATGAAGAATAATTTCTTAGAATCGTTGAAGTATGAGCTGAAAAGTATGAAGAATAATTACTGAATCGTTGAAGTATGAGCTGAAAATTATGAAGAATAATTTCTTAGAACCATTGATGTATGACCTGAAAATTATGAAGAATAATTTCTGAATCGTTGAAGTATGAGCTGAAAAGTATGAAGAATAATTCCTTAGAATCATTGAAGTAAGAGCTGAAAATTATGAAGAATAATTCCTTAGAATCGTTGAAGTAAGAGCTGAAAAGTATGAAGAATAAGTCCTTAGAATCGTTGAAGTATGAGCTGAAAATTATGAACAATAATTTCTTAGAACCGTTGTTAGTCTACTGCTCTAATAACACTTTCGGCAAAATCATTCAAGAAAACTAAGCATCAAGCAGAACAGTTTTATCTTTATAAGCTTTATGACGATTATACAGACAAAAAAAAAGACTTCGTCGTGGAACAAAATGCCGACATAGCACCCGGCCTTTGTATGCAAATCGTGACACTAAAGTTCACGAGCGTTATTCCTGGATCTCGGGTAACTCTGCCTCATTGTTATTATAATATACTAGTTATAATATACTATTGGTAATATCCTAGTTGGTTATTCCGGGCTCGTTAATACCCGTCATTTTAGAATCACGTTATTCCTAATCCCGTAAATAATAATAATGCTGATGTGTGCTAATTGAAGTAAGAAATGTTTTAACCCGCATTTCATAGAGAATTTAAAACTCCCATTTGACTCTCACTTCGAAATAGGAAAAAATTACTTCAGGTAAAATTAAATTTAGATATTTTGCTTTAAAATATAATTGCAATTTTTTACTCAATCCTTTCCTTCCACTGTTGCAATAAATCACTATTCTTTCACTAAAAATGTAATTTCAGCTACAGGGAATATCAAGACGCAATATAACTGTCCTGCATACGCGCCCCAGAATCCACTATATATTCACGCCTCCAAGCTTCAAACACACATAAACTTTGACAACTATACATCACTCATGAGATTATACAGCTCATCTGTGAAGTCATTACACGTAAGCACACAAACACACGCAAAAACTACCACACGTAATTTATTCCATGTATACATGATGCGATAAATGAATTTTTTAGTTTCGTAAAATACATTAAATGTATATATAAATCCTACCCGAGTCATTAATCACAGCAGAATAGAAAAGATTTCACAACAATTTTCAAAATTGCATTTGGCTCAAAATGGATTAGGATCAAAGCTGTAATGTTGTCCACAATGCGTTTTTTTGCACACCACTACGAATGTCTTCAGGTTATGAGATCGGATGCACATCATTACCAACACTTTGTAGCATTATTAATTATTATTGTTACTTGTTTTTGGGGGGGAAAAAGCGGATTGTCGTACACATCCATATCATCGGCGTGGACTAAACCAAGAACATAAAAATCCCAACATCTCACACCCATCTGCGAGACAGCAAGCGTCGTCATCAGGCTCAGGTATCCTCGCAATAACTCCTAGCCATCTTAATTACTGCGATGCGTGTATCACGTTCAGCAATTAATGTCATCGAATTAAGAAGAAATATATTGTAATTAAATAAATGATATAAATAGAATAGTGCGTTTGTGGGTCCCGTTTAAAAGCGCGGCAAGACTCACGCGTCCCGCAGTATCTTGGATACGGTCCCTGATAGCGGTTACTCTGAGACAAGGACCAGAGTTCTAAATAAACGCACTTGAGTTCTTAATGATTGCAAGTGAGCAACCACGACACGCTCCGTGGTGCACGTGAGCTCTTCTTAATTGGAAGCGTATCTCGTTTTATATGCTATTTTCCTATTCTGTATATTATAATTTTTTATGTCTAATATATTTTCCAAATTATTTACTTGCATCAAATGATAAATATTTATCGCCAATATCATAAGCATACGTCGAGCCAAAAAATGTACTGCCACAACAGCTGAACTCGGATGCTCGGTGTCCCATGTCCCTCCACCGCCAAGTCTGATGTGGCACTAGCAGTTTCGTGGTCGGGGCCGAGGATGTCACTGCTGCTGGTGTTGCTGATGGCGCTGAGCGCGTCGGCTTGTTTCGTCAACGATTGTCCCAATGGAGGCAAGCGGGCTGCTGGGCCAGTCAAATGGTGGCCAGGGAAAACCAATCCTTCTAATGTACAGCGAAAACGAAATTCTCATCAAATATTCAAGGTGTGCTAAAGATAAGGCTTGGCTAATTGCTCATATTTGTATGAAAGATGGTCCCAAGATGCGCGTTTAATTTTCATCTGGTTTCAAAAGAAGTAATCTTTCGACATAATTTTATATGAATATGACACACATTTCGGTCAGTCTTTACGACACGATACTGAATTATCACACGCCAGAAGGTTAAAAGTCAACATGTAACGCAAAAGTTAAGCTATAGTTCATGCAACTCGATTTTCTTCACCTAGTCTCTCCAACAAGTGGGAATACCAACATATCTATGGTCATCCCCTGCGGCCAAATTCAGATTCTGTGGCCTGGTGTTGATGGACCACTCAGCTAGGTGTTGCTGGACCACTCAGCTAGGTGTTGCTGGACCACTCAGGTGTTGATGGACCACTCAGGTGTTGATGGACCACTCAGGTGTTGATGGACCACTCATGTGTTGATGGACCATTCAGGTGTTGATGGACCACTCGGGTGTTGACGATTGGGATAGAAAACGGCGCCACCTACAATTAAGTAATTTACTTTTGAACTTTAACATTCTACATTCTAATAGATTTATGCAATATATTTTACCGGAACAGAGTGACTGCATCCCGTCCGCGTCTCTGGATGGCATCATCACCGCCGTATGTGACGCTCTCCTACGCGCAGCCGAAGTACATAAACGCTTGAAGAACAAGACGACAGTTGAACTGAAAATAAACATAACGGCTTTGATGGAGACCAAACTGACGAAACCTTGGAGCAGCAAAAAGATCACATATCTAAGCAAGTTTTTTGTAATACAATTCAAAAATGGCATCGCAGTGCCTTTGGATAATCGTATATTGCAGATCCTGACAAATAAAGAACCTTCTCCGTTTAATAAGCCCATAGTGGGTTGTTGTCTATGCAACATTGACATGAAACAGCGCTTCAAAGAGCTCATGGAAAGTAAAATTGAGACATCAGGAAGAAAAATTTGAAAGCCACTCGCAACATAATAAACTAATCAAAGATTAACTGAAATTAAATGAGATTAGAAAGAAGTCCATCTTTGGACAACAAAAAACGTGAGTTCTAACAGAGATTTATAGTTAAAACTGTGACTGCTAATGCTGTGGCAAATTCGATAAAAATTCCTCTCCTAAATGCATTGCGAATATGTGGCACAGAGCCTTTTCCGTATATTTACAGAGTTTTGCAGTTCTTGCAGTTTTTACAGTGAGAAACTTGAGAATAATTGAATATTGACCTCATGCGACCTCTTGTTGGCTATTAACTTTCAAATATGGCAATTATAAATCATGACTACACCTGGGAATATATATAAAAATATGTTTAGTTACCCATGTCGATCACGAGCCAGAAAATGGTATCAGTTTGACACCAATTTATAACAATGTTCGTCAAAAAATAATTATTAGTTGGAAATAATACAGCCCATAATTCAGCCGCTGATTTTGGAAGTGAAAAATCGCTACTTTGAAATATGAAAAATAAATTTTGACACGCTTTGCCTTCAATTATACCTGGTGACAATTAAATTTATAGCAGTAACGAGCGTTATTCACGCCTGCTGAAGTTCGGCGCTGAATAAAGAAAATGAATCCGTGGCAAAAACTCCATAAGACAACTAATTTTAATAGAGCTTAACTTATCGGTTAAAATGATAATGAAATAATTGACAACTTAGTAGAGCACCTGATTCATTATACAATCGTGTTTCTTCTAAAATTTAGGGCATTAGTTTGGCACAAAATTTGCATGATGTTCTAACACTATTTGGAAGTGTTCAATAGTGTTCAATAGTGTTCAATAACCACTATTGAAAACTATTGAACACTTTCAAATAGTGTTCAATAGTGTTCAATAGTGTTCAATAGTGTTCAAACCGCATCTACAGTTGGGACGTATGAATGAAAGTAAATTCAAGCATTGATGCATCTTTCATCGTTGCTTAGTTTTCAGCAATATTTCTGTATCTGTTATTACATTTACCTATATTCTATCACAAGCCTTCCAACAGAAACACGTAATAATACGTTTGCTTGGAATATTTAGAAAAAAATGCCCGTATTTGATAATGTGATTTATTTAAGGAAACAAAGTGCATATGAAGAGGATAGTAGTAAAATTAGAGTTTGCTTGCAATTGTTTCCGAGTTCCGCATGTTGAAAAAATATAACTCGGTACTCACTGCAGTGAGTTCCAGAGCGCGCATTTTCTCGTCGACGAAAACTTTAAGTCACGGACGGACGGACAGACAGACAGACAGACGGACATGGCGAGCACAATAGTGCATTTTTTTCCATAACTGAGAAAATGCGCTAAAAATGAAACCAATAATTCATGGCACCGATCGATCTTCCGACAACACTTGCTTCAGTGAATTCGGTAATTTAATTTAATCTACTCGTGCACCTGCTTACCAACCAAGTGAAATAAAACATTTCCGACGTTCATGCTAAAAAGTGTTACATTTGGAATCGGATCTAATATTTCTTGAGGATCAGTTCACGCAAAGTCTCTTAACTGATCAAACTTTTAAAGTCAAATCCAATCATTGGAATACGGCCATGCACATTACAATATGTTTCATGTAAGTCTAAAATCTTCAAGGATAACGTTAAAGGAAAATTCTACGCAGAATTTATTTTAATTTTTGTCACGATAACATTTTTATTATATTTTACGACGTGATGACGTCAAGAGGGCTAATATGTCAGTTTTGATAGCATTCTGGACATGATAATGCCCGACAGCTTTGCAAACAATTCAGCTAATGCCATCCAGCCGAGTGCAAACAGTGACTCAATGTATACTCCGTGGTGGTACACGAAATTTCAGTGACACGCGGAGGCTGCCCGAGGAAAGACCGATGAGATTCAAGCTCGTGGTAAATTATTGCAAGAATATTGCATCTGGAACGTGACATTAACCTTAGGTTTCCTTGGGTAAACTTCCATTTTTCGGACCAGGCGTAAAATGCTCTGCTAAAAAGTCAAATTTCGAACTTTTCCTCAATACCGTAGTGTGCACAAGTTTCTTAGAAGTATTGGAGAAACGCCTGCAGAAAGCAAAAGTGAAATAGCATTCAGAGTGTGCCGCCAAAAATGTTTTATAGTGCTAGCATTTTGAAAGACGACTGACGAGTTCGAGATCAGTGAGTTCAACTCCCGATTCCTATAAGAGTCAAAAAATACAAGAGTATATACGCATGATGAAGGACTGGACGAGAGCTCAGTGGCGAATTCCTCTCAAAAGTGTGATCGTATTTTGGCTGAAAGTTTTACGAGCCTCTGGATGCTTTCCTTACGCCATTGACGTGATCGAGATCGATGAAAGAAGCCATGTGCAGCACGAAATTTGCGGTAAAAATGGGACAATATCATTGATCAAGTTAACAGCTTACAAGCACAAGTGGCTCAACACGCTACTCCTACTTAGCCTAGCGAGTTTCAACATCGTAGCATCGCTTGCTGAATTCAAAACAAACCAAGACCTTTTTACCGGGTACATGACAAACACAGAGATTACGACGGTAACCATTCTTCCCATTGTTCGAAATGTAGTGTACCTGAGCGTGGTATTACACGCGTGGTGGAACTCGAGTATTTTGCAGACCTTAATCCAGTTAACTGTTGAAGTGTTGAATAGCGATAAAAAACTTCGGTTTCTTCGTTCTGCGGGACACATTACGCAATTGTTCTTTCCACTGCTGGTAGTGGATCTGTTCATTTTGGTCTACACGCAGTCCAGGGTAGGAAGAGACATTCTTCACGAAAAATTTTGGGAGTCAGGCGCCCCGATCGTTTGGGGTATAGGCATTGTGCAGTATTTACTCTTTTTTAACGTTTATTTTTCCCTAATTTGCATTAACAATGCTTGCCAATCGATTTTGGTTCATTCTTTTGAGCAAATCTCACGATCTATAGAAATCAAGGTTGATTTCTATTCACAAAAACTGTGTGCAGTAGCGACCAAATTGAACCCTTCCATTGATCACGAGTGCCATGCTTCATCATCATTTCCGTCGCCAAAAAGTAGCAAGAAATCTGTTGAAATCAACGGTAATGACTTTTTGAAACAGGATAAGAAAGAACATCTTCTGGCGCCTCAGTTAACCAGCAAAATGTCGTCTACAGCTCTGCTGAACAATAAATATTCCGTAATCGACCTTCCTCATCTACAGAGGCTATGGCAGATTCAGAACAAGATCAACAGCTTCTTCTGGTTCTCGACGTTAATATATTCGGCTGCCTATGTTTTATTCAGCGCTGGCATCGGGTTTCTTACTGTTGTGATGGGACAGACAGCGAGCCAGAACTTGAGTTCCATTCTTTTCTTCATCATTCAGTCGATGCCACTTGGCCTACTTTATCATACGGCAGATCAACTACACGAAAATGTGAGATATTTCGTCATTCTTTAATTATCTTTACGAACTTGAGAAAATCTATACATATATTACAATGTTTACAAATTTCGAACCGTAGCTCAAAATTAGCGATTCATATTGAGAACAAATTTTCATGGACCTAAAACTGGCTTAACTTAAAAGCTGCTTATACCAGCTCGTGTAAATACATAGACAACTCTTAATAAATTAGCTCAGAACGAGAATCTAATTGGTCCGATAATTTTTTCCAGAAAAATCGGCTGCTCCAAGAATTAGCTCGCTTTCAACTGTTCGCAGACGATTCAACTGAAGCTGATCAGGTGGGTGTAGTTTTCGAGACTATTCTCAAAAACTGCGAACAAAAAATAGAATGAAATAGTAAACTTTATTAATATTAAAACATATGAAGTACATACTGCGCTCAGAATGAAACGTACGCGTTCAGTTATAATTGCACGTTTTGAAGAAAAATATACGTTATGAATTCATATGAAAATATAATAAAAATAAATAATAAACATGAAAAACTGAATTTTGTCACAGAATTTTGACTTCTATGGATGGATAAGCCAGGTTTCACTTGGAATAAAATATTCAAATTCTGTAGATATTTTTGACTAGTAAATCTACGAGCACAAATTAAGCGCGGTCCAGAAAATAGTAAGTTTTGCTCTTGATTGCGACTTAATACCACTCACTAATTCACTATTTTCAACGCAGGCACGGCGACTGATGGAGTTTGTGCACGTCCAGCCCGAGGTCACAGCAGGCGGTTTCTTTTCCCTATCCAAGGCGAAACTTTTGGCGGTCAGTGCGTCTCTCTGTATTCTTTACATTCTTTTTCTTTTACTTTCTCTATATTCTTTACATGGGAGCGCAGTCGTGGGTAACAAAATCGACTCATAAACAGGCCCTGGGCCCAACGCCAACCATCAGCATGCAATATCTACACATAGCCTCAGATCATTGAGCTGTGGGTAACTCCGGCTAACAGTAAATCCGCTGTGCACAACACAGCCACTGCTTCACAGAGCCGGAGCCCAACTGGCCGGAGCGCAGCAGGCCCTACCGCAACAGGCGGCGCAGTTTAGGTTAGGTTCGGTAACGTTACGTTAGGAGTAGCTGTTGCGGTAGGGCCTGTTGGGCTCCGGCCTGTATGCGCTCCGGCCTGTGGCTGAACGGCGCTGTTGTGGTGGGCGCTTTGTGTCAAAAGCCGTGAAGATGGCCGGCTGCGTTACGCTCGGGAAGGTATATGAATCGCACTGTGGACTTGGGCTATGCTGACCTCTAGCTATCCACCCCTTTACATTCGTAGAATGAAATTTTCTTGAAGTCATTTATGGGCAAATATTTTCGGTTTTTAGTTAAGGTGGGAATTTTTTTCAGCTTTAATTTGGTTACAAGAAGAAATAATTCATTTATTTATATTGTCCTTTGTTTGTTCCAATCGATGAAAATTTCCGAAGCAAAAGTACTTCAAAGCTTTTTTAAAGAGCCTTCTGATTGTTTTTATATATGCACATTGTCACTTTGCATTATGACTAACAACGAACTCACTGCAGAATAGAAAGCAAAAAATTCGGGACAAAAAATTGATGAGATTAGCAAATGAAATTAATGAGAAGAATTTTTGATAAATCAATGATAATTTTTTTATTTAGTCATTCATCAAAATGATTCATTTACGAAGTCATCAAGAGCTTTGGTTTGCATTTCAAATTTTCATTTGACGAGTACATTATGTGTTATATTTCGAAAATTTTCTTTCTCGGATAACGGACAATTATGCTCAAATTCGTCTGGATCGCAGGCTCCGGTATGACTGGGTCTCAAGGTCCATTCGTCTGGGGCGCGAGCTCCAGTTGTCTGGGTCACGGTCTCCGGTTGTCTGGGCATGCGCTCCGGTTGTCTGGATTCCAAAGTCCATTTGTCTGGGTTGCGGGCTCCGGTTGTAGCGGACCCTGGGTTGCCCTGACCCTGGGTTGCGGGCTCCGGTTGTCTGGGTCATGAGGTTCATTCGTCTCATGTCAGTGGCTGCGTACGTGTAATCTGTTAGCCACGCCGCTCTTGACAACCAAGCTGGTACGGGAATTGTAGGTCAGGAGAGTTCCTGATGGTAGAAGATACGACCAAGTCAGAATACTACTTGCCTAATATACATCTGCCTTTCTACGATGCCACTTGATTGAAGAAGGTCCTCTTACTTCGTCATTTGCCCAAAAGTTTATCAATATATCCGAAGTGATAATATAAAAAATTTATTTTATGCTTAGATATATTAATATTAATTTATTGATTTCATTAGAATTTATTTATTTTCAACAAAAAATTATTCATGAAATGTGAATTTAATAATCAGGCCCTCGAAGCTCGGAAAACGAGAAACTAGATCAGTGGTTCCCAAAGTGGGCGATATCGCCCCCCTAGGGGCGATGGAAAGATTTTGGGGGGCGATAAAGAATAAGAGGGCGTTTGGGGGGCGAGAGGGGGGCGGCAGTCCAAAGTCGAAGTCAGAAGTTCGAACGTTTGTTTGACGATTTGTACACAACACGTGCAGCACATGACTCCCAGCGATGGTTTTTTCACCCAGATCTGTTTTTAGCGCGTTTACTCATTTATGGAAAAAATGCACTATTGTGCTCGCCATGTCCGTCCGTCTGTCCGCCTGTATGTCCGTCCGTGACTTCATGTTTTCGTCGACGAGAAAATGCGCTTTCTGTCACTCACTGCAGTGAGTACTGAGTTATATTTTGTTAACCTCTCCTGGGTTTACGTCTCCGACAAATTAACGGCCGGACTCGCGGCCGGTCTCACGGCCGGTCTCAAGGTCAATTTCCAAATTCAATGATCAAAGAATTCCTCTCAAAATAATAAACTTAACTCGATGAAACTTGGTACACGTATTCATTAGGACCTATAACGGTATAATGGAAAGCTCGTGAAAAATTTTTGAATTTTGCCTTCAATTGTTTTTGCCATACTTATATGGCAATACGGGCCGAATTCACTGTGATCAAGGAATTTCTTCCAAATTACTGAACAGATTCGAACGAAATTTTGAATTTACAGTCCTAACTATCGAACGGTGATGTTTAGCTCGTGAAAATTTTTTCGATTGTGCCTTCGTTCACGAGTTTCATACGTGATTGAAACAGCAATACGTGCTTAAATTCGCAGTAGTCAAGAAATTTCTTGCAAACTACTAAACAGATTCGAACGAAATTTAGTATTTTAATACCTAACCTCAGCAACGGTGATGTTTAGCTCGTTACAATTTTTTCGTTTTGCCTTCGTTTGTGAGTTATACGGCTATACGTAAACGGCTCTTGGTTAAACCAGCCGTTAGAAAAGCCGAAAAAAAATCTCGCAAAAGACGGTAAAATAATTTTTTTTATCTAAAACACCATTTGGTAGTTAGGAATGTATATTCAAAATTTCGTTCAAATCTGTTCGGTAGTTTGGAAGAAATTCTTTGATCACTGCAAATTTCGGCCTGTATTGCAATATAACTCACGAATGAAGGTGATATTTAAAAAATTTCGCAAGCTAAACGTCACCGTTAAGTTCTGATGAATACATGTTCCGAGTTTTATTGAGCTGCGTTCATTAGTTTGGGAGATATTCCTTGATAACTGAATTTGGAGATTGTTCGTGAGACCGGCCACGAGTCCGGCCTTAAATTTGCCCGAGACGTCCTAGGTTACTAGTGCTGAAACAGTTAAAACAGCTGAAAAACACATTGGTTCACTAAAAGGGGTCCTATTTGTGAAATACACATTTGTGTTTAACCTTTATCTTTTAAAATTGCAGCGAACTAAATTTTATAGTAAGAGGCGCATGATTTTATATGTATATTTGTCTGTGGGGGGCGCTAGAAATTCACTAGGAAGCCAAAGGGGGCGCTAGCCTGAAAAAGTTTGGGAACCACTGAACTAGATGTAAGGAATCTACAAACAATAGTAAATGCTAGTGTCGAATAGTAAATCTTGAATGCTGAAAAACAAACCCACAGTGGATTTCTTTACAATTATATCGTCATTTGAAGGCAGACGATAGGCGGTCGTGTGTCGGGCAGCGCGTTCAAACGAAAGTGTGTGTTGTGTGTTGTATGTTGTGTGTTGTATGATGTGTGTTGTGTGTTGTGTGTGTGGTGTTGTGTGGGTCCCGTCTAGGTCGCTGTGTGGAGTTGTGTAAGGATAAGAGTCATCTAATGAGATTTTTAACATTTTTTTTTTTATTGCAGATGATGGGGTTCATCAGCTCGTACCTGGTGATCTTGCTGCAGTTCAACGGCAAGACAAATTTTTTGACAGATCGGTTTGCTGGTCTAAACCAATCAGCCATGCAGGGCGAGTAACTGACAGACCAGACTAATCAGTTAGCGGTATGGGCAAATTATGTACAATATATGCACACTTCAGGTATATATTAAAGCTTAATAATATACCAATCAATCAATGATACTTCTCACTAGCTGCTGATCTTTGGAGGGCAGCACATGACAAAGTTTGGCGTAGGAGATGAAATATCAATGAAAAAGAAAAAAACATTCCGAAAGCACAAAATCATTGAAAATATATTGCAATTTAGTGCTATCTCACCATGTTTTAACCTCCATCTTAATTGAAGTGTGGCACTTTCTTCACAGTAAAATACAGGGTCATCAATATTTAGCGTTACATTGTTTTTTCAAAATCAATACACTCGCAAAACAGTTAAATTTGTCGTATGGAACCATGTCGACTGTTCTCCGAAAGGACCTAAAGTTGTCCCCATTCAAGCATGTCAAAAAACACCAACTGTCTGCTCAAGTTGTTGACAAACGCCTCCAAAGATCCAAGATTCTTCTTTCCCGCATTCATGATGGCACGCTGCCAAACCTCGTTTTCAGTGATGAGAAGATATTCAATGTTGAACACCACTTCAACTCCAAAAATAATCGAATTTGGTCGGAGAATGGGACGAAGGATCCAGTGTGGTGATTATAGGAAGCAATGCAGGACCTCAGTGATGGTCTGGGCAGCCGTAACAGAGTCCTAAAGGAGTCCCCTCTTTTTTGTTGACAATGCGGTGAAATTGAATCAAGAACTATCGAGGTGCCATCCTTGTTGGTGCATTGTTGCCCTGGGCACGAAAGCACTTCAAAAAACGTCCCTGGTTGTTCCAGCAGGACTCTGCACCATCCCATGGGGCCAAATCGACTCAGGTGTGGCTGTCCGAGAATGTTCCCCACTTCATTACCAAAGATGAATGGCCCCCATCGTCACCCGATCTGAATCCTCTGGATTTTGGGATCTGGTCATACATTGAGAGCAAGGTCTCGACCGTTCACCATAGCAGTTTGGACGCCCTAAAGGTCAAACTGCTGAAGGAGTGGGCCAAAATCCCGCAGAGTGTCATTCGTGACTCGTGTAAGGCTTTCTCCAAGCGTCTACAACTCGTTATTGTTGCAGATGGTGGACATATTGAATTAAATTGTGGGAATTGTATCTCTGAACCTCTGCCTACATAAATACATTTTCAAACATTCACAATTGTGTTTCATTTCATAGTTCTAACCACTCAAAGTTGTAGCGCTAAATATTGATGACCCTGTATATTGTCCATGTATTCAATGCAGAAAAAAAGATCGAGGTAAACTAAAAGAAAAAGTATGGAATCAATCTAAATATTGAGAATATTTTTACGCATTAAAATTATGAATCAAATATAAAAATGATTTTACTTGATTTTGTTTCATTATCTTCAGCATGTTTTGATCATAAAATAGTAAACGCTTATACCAAGATGAATTATTCTTCAGCTTATATCGGCGGTCCTTTCGTTTTTGCTTTCTGAGATCTGTTAGGGAACAGCGCCTATATTTCACATCCACGAATGCCTAAAAAGCGTAGCTGGCTGCAAACGCTTGCAACAAGGAATATGAAAAAAAAAACATTCCAGAGACAAAAAAATAACAATAATAATAGGCCATCCTTATGAACTGAACGCCATACCGTCGCCTTGCGCCAAACGTCGGTAGTGTCAACCTTGCTTACACTAGAATATTTTATACAAGCGAAATCTGACATCACCAGTTCATTTACTAGTGATCTCCATGTATTTTTAAACCAGGTAAAATATCATAAATACTTACTTGTAATATCTTAAAGACGTGTTACACGGACTGCAATCAATGCCAAATATGCCACGAGAATATCACGCCTCGCTGAGTGCGTTGGTGGGCTCATGTGCAAGAAGCCTTGTTCCCCTTACGCGGTGCTCTGCAACAATCGTAATCAAGGGATCCAAGATCCCTCCGAGTTTCTAGTTATTCTTTCACTATCCACTCCTTTAATGCTAATTTTAATTTATAGATTTGGAAAATTCAAAATCGGCTACCTGCATTTTTGAAATATTAGTGAGAGGATTGCTCTTGCGTACCAAGTCAAATGCGGATACCAAATCATTACGTACCACAGCGACATCCGCAAAAATGTCTCCTTGCATCCTTTTGCAAATTAACGTCCTTGTTCCTCAACATTCCTTAACGTAACATCATAATTAGCGATGTTGATAAGTCGATGTCAGTCAGAAGAACAGGTTGGCGCGTAGAAACATTGAGCTCAGCGGCAAAACTCAAGCCTCGCACGTGATGGTCAGGATAACGAAAATCGTATTTATAGTGGGAAGATATAGAAAAGAAGGAATTCATGTTATTAAATTAGGTAACAATTAGAATTTAGGTCCGACATGCAATGAACAATATAAAGCTGGAATATAACGGCTTATAATCATTCACACAAAAATGGGCGTGACTCATGATGGAAGAAACTAGTACAAAGCAGTGAAGCAATCACTGCTTCGATCACAAGACTTTCAGTGGCACTATAATTCCTTTATTGAATCTGGAACTAAAACACATTACATAGGCATGGAAAGTTAATACGAGTAACTTTACATACACCGTGTCACGTGTAAGTAACGTATGGTGCAAGATATATTTAGATTAATAGTTAAAAATACGTCACAGGACTACAGCGCTTGCCGTTATATTTTCGGCAGCATTTGCATCATTTACACCAAACGCAGCTTACAGTGGACAATGAATGCATTCGCCTGGTCTGCAAATGTAATCACGAACTGATCAGTAAAAGAATTATATCAACATCAATATAAAAATAAATTCACGAGATTAGAAGGCTCTGTAGTCACTTTCTATTTTAAGTTGCTTAACCAATTCCATGAAAATTCATATTCAAGTTATTCAAATATGGGGAATAGCAATATGAATTTCAAGTAATTAACTTTGCTATGATTATTATCATACAATCATCTCCGTAACCAAATATAAGAACTCTTGATGCTCGGAATCAAATACAGTCACAAATAAGGGATGAGTTTAGGTTGTTAGATAACCTGGACAGTTTGTGAATGAAAGACTCCAACGTAAATTATTATAGTTCAACTTTTGCTTTGATTCAAATGATAATGAGGGAGCTTAACTTCAATTTTTGGTCTCTTAACTTTGTGTAGTTTCATGTAATTGATGTCGATTCGTTTTAAGATGGCAAACGCTATTAGTTAAATCAAATTCAAGTAAAATGATACCCTATATTTATCGAGTAAAGGGCAGGTGGCGCTTCTTTTTTCGGCGAAAATCTTTGCTTATCCGAAATGAAAAATTATCGGCACCATTACCGTTATTAACATGCACATCGATGACGTAATAAAATCAGTTATTGGACATGAGATATACTTTCATGCTAAAAAGTTTTTCAGTTATCATTATAAAACTGAAATCTTTAATTACAATATTTTGGTGATTAGTTTACTTGATTTCTACTGCTGACCACAGTTATCGATGTAGTAATATGAAGAAAGTTATAATAAAATGGTCAGACGAAATCCTTGTTTAAAATGGGTCAGACGTAATTTTTGTTAGACAAATAAGCAAAATAGATCGTTTTCTGAACTTCAGAAACAACCAGGAACCGAAACTCCGAAAGTTTAATAATGTTTTATTTTCAGTAAAACTGTCGAACGTCCAATATTAAGAGATGACATCAACCGGGCTAACATGCCACTTGAGTTATCATATTGGACCTCATGAAGCTCGATAGCTTTGCAAACAATGCAGCTAATGTGCGATGGCCGTGTACACAATAAGACAAGAGACATGGACCCCTCCGACTCTTCATAAAATTTCAGTGACTTCCAGAGTCTGGCGATGAAGAGACGGAGAGCGGCGATGTCGTGGAACATTTTTGTGAAAAAGCGTTTCATCTAGAACGGCGCATCGACGATAAATTCCGATAGAAGCTGAAAAGACGCAAAATTTTACATAACACGTGAATTTCTTCACGCAGATCAATACGTGACGTGATCTACCAGTTTCAAAGCATTCCCAGGGCACTCGTATCGAGTGAAACATCCAGAGTATGCGATTAAAGCTATATTGTTGAACAAATATTTCGAATATTGAATAACAGAGCGAGACTACGGACTTTAGCTCTGTAGTTTGGACTCGGTCCACGACACAATTTCTAAAACAAATCTACAAAACTACTTATATGCAATGAAGGACTGGACGAGAGTTCAGTGGCGAATTTCTCTCATAAATGTAATTGTGTTTTGGTTGAAAATGTTGCGTGCGTCTGGATGTTTCCCTTACGCCATTGACGTGATTGATTCCCATGACGGGAGACAAGTGCACCATGATAAACTATCTCAAGAAAAAAATCTCTTCTGGACTTGTAATCAAATGAATGATAGAACTGGCGATCGAATATCCATGATCAAGTTAACCCCTTTCAAACGCCGGTGGCTGAATGCTTTGCTCCTGTTTACGTTGGCTAGTTCCAACATCCTCGCATCGTTTGCCGAATTAAAACTACACCATGACCTCTTCGCTGTGCACATGACAGGCACAGAGATAGCGACTGTGGCTATCGTTTTGATATTGCGAAATTTGGTCTTCCTGAGCATACTACTGTATTCCTGGAGGAATTCGGGTATGTTGCAGAACCTGGTGCAGATCACCGTTGATATTTTACATAACGATCATAATCTTATGTGTCTACGGTCTTCGGGATACATTACGCTATTTCTCATTCCGCTGCTCTTTGTGCAGCTAGTTATTATGGCCTATACGCAGTTCGGAATCGGAAGAGACGTACTAGGGGAACAATTGTCCAAATCCTATTTCCCGATCGTTTGGAGTATGAACTTCTTATATTTGATCAATTTTATCGTATATTTTTCACTAGTTTGCCTTAACAATGCTTGCCAGTCGGTGATCGTGTATTCATTCGAACGCCTTTCACGATCTCTGGAATTCAAGGTTGAT